CAATCATAGGGAGATCATTCACCTCGATAACCAAATCTCCTCTATCCACTCCCTGAACTCCGAGTTGACGGTTTCCCAAATTAACTACCTTAGTGATGGCCCTTTTGAAGAGATCGAAAGCGAAGGCTCAAATCCAATATATTATCCTATTCCAATCACTGACTCATCCTCTGTATCATTAACGTTGCCTCCATCTGTTTTAGAACAGAAAAAATCCTTAGGCAATTGCTACAATCTCGTTATTCCTGAAACTCCTATTTCCTTGTTCTCGAATAACTCAGAATCGCTGAATCCAAGGAATGAACCAAATCATACCTTTCATTCCTTCACTGAGTCAGAATCACGGGCAAGTAAAGTCGTCAAACTCCTTCGTTTAGATCACCTCAACTCTGAAGAGAAACAAAATGTTCTCTCCCTCGTGAAACGCCACCAGAATCGATTTCATCTCCCCGAAGATTTCTTGGGTCAAACTACCGCAACTTCTCACAAGATTATCACTACCGATAACTTACCAATAAATACCAAACAGTATCGTTTTCCACCCATACATAGGGCAGAAATCAATAAACAAGTTTCACAACTACTATCCAACGATATCATCAAATCTTCAATTTCTCCGTATAACTCACCTGTGTGGGTAGTTCCTAAAAAGCCTGATTCTCAAGGCAACAAAAGATGGAGGATGGTCATCGACTATCGAAACCTTAATGAGAAAACGATCGGGGACGCTTACCCCCTTCCTAACATCACCGATATCCTAGACCAGTTAGGAGCAGCCAAATATTTTTCCGTACTCGACCTCGCCAGTGGATTTCATCAGATCCCCATGGATCCCTCACATGCTCACAAAACAGCATTCTCCACGCCTCATGGGCATTATGAGTTTACTCGAATGCCATTTGGCCTAAGGAACGCACCCGCGACTTTCCAACGCCTGATGGACCAACTCCTCTCCGGGTTGCAAGGAGCAGAACTTTTTGTCTATATGGACGATATAGTTGTATATGCCAGTTCATTACATGAACATGACGTGAAAATTCGAAAGTTGATGGATCGACTGCGCAATGCTAACTTGCTATTACAACCCGATAAGTGTGAGTTTTTGCAACGAGAAGTTGCTTACTTGGGCCACGTAATTGGAAGCGAAGGAGTACGCCCAAATCCGGAAAAAACAGTAGCAGTTAGGAATTTTCCTGTCCCCAAAAACGCAAGGAATATCAAACAGTTTTTAGGCCTGGCCGGCTACTATCGCCGTTTCATACCCAACTTCTCGGGAGTAGCAAAACCACTAACTAGCCTTCTCAAGAAGAATGCTCCTTTTAAATGGAAACCTGAACAGCAAGAGGCTTTTGAACGCTTAAAACAAGAGCTCTGTCAAGAACCCATTCTTCAGTACCCCGACTTTTCACAGCCGTTTCTACTCACTACCGACGCGTCAAACACAGCCATTGGCGGAGTTCTTAGCCAAGGAACAGTCGGACAAGACTTACCTATAGCCTACGTATCTCGCGTACTAAATTCCGCTGAAACGAACTACTCAACCATAGAGAAGGAACTGTTAGCCATCATTTACTGCACGCATCATTTTCGACCGTACCTATATGGACATAAATTTTTCCTCATCACGGATCATCAACCACTTACGTGGCTCTGCAAAGTTAAAGATCCTACATCAAGGCTTATGAGATGGCGTTTAAAATTAGAGGAGTATAACTATGAGATTATTTATAAACCTGGATCTGCAAATCACAACGCTGACGCGCTTTCGCGAAACCCCCGAATACTAGCTATTACGAACTCACCTCTTTCGTCATCCGATGAAAACTCGAGACCACCTCCACTC